TTTTTTTTTCATAGCTCAATGAATGTATATAACCAATACTGCACAGTAATTTCATTTGTAGACTTAGAGGAAGCCTTGCGAGGCAGCAAAAACTCGCCCAAATCAGTGGCCTTTGTAAGGACCGGGCTACCACCGGTTTCACACTCGTAGCGTGAACAGCCTCAGAATGACTTGGGGGTATGATTAAGGCTCATTTTAATTAGGGTTCAGAGCCAAAAAAAATCCGGACCTATCGCTTGAGGGATGCACGAAAAATGAGAGATACATTGATTTCAGCGTGACAGAAGGTGACAGGTTCAATATCCGCTCTGCCGTCTTTCGGCCTCCATGCAGCACGCTCACGTTGTGTCATTGAGCCGGAGCAGGCAACGGCGGACTTTCAACTGTAGCGTGACATTTACTGTGACGGAATCTTGCATATCACGATTTTTCGGCCACTGTCCGACACGTGCTCTACACAAAGAATTCGCAAAGGATATTTACCTTAGCATCGGAACACATTCAGGAAGATAAGGATCAATATTTTAAGGAAACGGAGCACAGGTGAGAGCTACAGAAATTCATTTATCGAAAATTTGCATATCCCGACCACCCACAGCATCATTATGATCGATCGCCGCGCTACAGTCAAAATCCAAGCTCCTTTCCTCCCCACTGATAGCTAGCCCTCAACGGGTCCTCTGCCAGGTGATCATCATTCGGCTGGTTCGTGTCCTCTACCGCCAAGTGGCCCATATGACGCGCTTTCCTCATTGGCACGCCCAAATGCTCCCTCAAAAGCTTCGTCACATCCTCAGGGTCGATGATCATATCCCGTCCTCCCGGGGAGCTGGGCTCAACGACCAACACTGCATAGGTCTGAGAAAGCACCGATGCTTCTTCGTATATCGCCACGGACGTGAACGTCGTAAGCATCATCTCGATGACAAGCGTACCCCGAGCTGCCCAGCGGTGATGATGCATGGCTCCACCGTGAGGGCCTACAACCGCCATGACATTTTTGTTGAAATAATCAAAGAGTTCGGATGCAGAGCTGTATTGCGTCTCATCAAAGATGATGATTTCTTCGCCCTTGCCTCGTTCTCTGAGCAGCACACGGATGGCATCGAGAAGCGCAGTTTCGTTGAGTACTCTGCGTCCGCCATTCTTAGCACGACCGTTGGATCGTGTCATGTACATGACCTAGTCATTTCGACAGGGTGAGTAGCGTACAGGGGAAACTGACACGAAACCACCCACCTTATTCCTGGTTGAAGACTCTTTCATCGAGTTGATACCAAAAGCTTCAAGCGTCCTCAACGAGAGAAACGGATGGACCAAGACCGCCCGACACGAGAAGATCATATTCTCTGCGTATATGTCTGTGTTTACGCTGTGCAGGACGCGCTTATCATTGAAGCCCAGTCTTTCCCATAGCTGCTGCACGAACTGGTTGCCTTGTCGTCCGGTGATAACATATGGGAGGTCGCTTCCATCGATAAGATGTGCGCCCTGAGCGACTATGTGAGTGATACGGTCCAAATAGTGTTGGAAGGAGTACGAGTCGGGCGAGGTGGCTAGCATTGCATTTCGATATATGGTGGGTGGGTTGGATCCTTCCAGCAATTCGAGCGGGTCAAACGTTTTGAGGCCGTCCGAAGAAACGAGGTCTGACATACACGAATCTGCCGACCAACCATCATAGCCTCCCGAGTATTTGTAAGAAACGTTTTCAAACACCTATATTTATACTGTAAGTACTAGCCTACCCAGAAAAATGTGCACTTACGAAGTTTTGTCCAGATTGTCCCTTATACACGAGCCAGCCGTCATTTTGTAGCACCCCACGCTCTTTTATTCCCATCGCAATGTCTCCCCACCGCTCCTTGTGCGCGTTCGACACAAAATGAGGCTGGCGAATCTTGAAAGATGGGTAGAGAAGCTCTTCTGCGTAGACCCCGTTCTGTTCCAACCTTTGGGCTACGCATGGCGCATAATGGGCTGGCATACCAGAGGTACACTCGCTCAAGCTCAAGGGAACCCATGCAGTGCTTCGCGCCAGAGAGTCATCTTCACTCACTGGTAGGAAGTCTGCATGTGTGTACGACTTGGACTCGGACGGTCGCCCAGGTTTTGATATGCCTCGCAGCGGCTGCAACTGATACTGAGGAGCAGGGCGATGCTCCAAAATATTGTGAAAGTTAAGGTATATCATCCCGGATAGGAGGATGACATTTATGCAGACGAGGATGGTGATAGTTGGTCGTGCCATGGTATCGAGAAAAGATGGGCAAGCAAAAAACTGCGCTGCATTGCGGCTAATGATGACCGTTTGGTTATGCTGGGCATTTTCTATAGCGGCCAAACATCTTCCGCGTGCACGGGGGGAAATCGGAAAAAATGACTGTTAAGTTGCTGACGGACGTAGCAAGGAAGAAGAGGTGGTGCACCGCCGCTTCGAACAGGGAGTGGCGATCAGTACGCCATCGCTACGACACCCAGGTTACTCCCTATTTCTGAGCTAAACAATTTCACGCGGTAGAGCTAGAAAGCAGAAGAACCCAATCGCAGGAAGTACCAGTGAAATAACGGCAAGAAGAACAGACGATGATTTGCTCTACTTGCATCTAGGACTCTCCATCCAGGTTTCAAACTCGGAATCGTCAGAAGATGGCTTGAAAGCCGCTTTCTGGGATCCTTTGGGAAGATATACATTCTTTGCAGTCGTCGGCATATACAGGTGAGTTCTAGCTCATATATACAGTCTTCAAAGTGCCGTACCAGTCATAGGCATTCTAATGATAATTTTATCAGTTCAAGGCGGCTCAAACAATACCCCGCCCGACTCTGAGCTTCGTGACCTCGCCATCATCCTTTCATGTATTGAAATTTGCTGTTGTTCTCGGAGCCTTACACTATCTCTGTTTACCGAGATTCCAAGGTCGTGGAGAATCATGATCCCGAGGATCAAAGGTACATGAATTCAGTTGGAGAGTGCGTCAAAACCATTACCATTTTCCCATGAGCGACTCAGTGAAGTGGGCCGTCGTGAGCAGGGCTCGAAGTCTTCTGGGAACAGCAATAACCACGGCCAAACAGGACATTCACTAGACATCTTCTACACTCCTAGTAACTCAATGACCAATGTGCTTTATTTAGTAATCGATGTAGCTTGAGATGTCACATCGCTTTCCGCAGTCGGCGTGGGTAAAAAGTAAGAATCCAGGAACTGGACAAGCAACACTCGGAGAGAAACCAGACCTCGAAGAGTGTCAATATCAAGTCGAACATTGTTTAAAGCAGTTGTATCATCTAGTTGGCAGTAATTATCATTACACACTGAATACTATCCTTTTCCGCCTTCAAGTTTCTCGAGTCGGACGGTCCGGCGGGGCTTGGGGCTTTCTCCGAGGGTCAAAGCCTGAGCCCGAGCTTTGATGACCCTCTACTGTCGGGCCTGGCATTTTAGGGCTTGGCTTAGCTTGGCCCGGCCCGGCTTTCGGGCTTCTCGTACTACATTGCTATCCAGGACTCCGACAGCCACTTTTCCAGACCACCAACTAGGATGAGCATCCAGTGTCGCAATTCCTTTAAGCTGGTCTGTCAGCTATTACTACTACGTAGGGGAAGTGGTAGCTTTTAGTAAATGAAGGTGGAGCATACAACTGGGCGTTCATCGCCTTTTTCGGACGTGTGTAGCGTCCGGGCCGTGGGAACACCGGTCGCATATAATAACATCCTAGAACAATCCTAGGAATTGGCCCAGGGAATTGTGGTTGAGGTCAAAAGATTCAAAAATTTTAAATGGCAGCTTGACGCTCGTCTGAAGTCATTCGGTAATAGTGCCGTCGAGCTGTTGGATCGCGTCAACCTGGGCGTCGATGGCGTGAGAACTTAATCCTTTTTCCCAGCTACCATGTTACGAATCCATCTGCCCTTCGATGTCTGCGGGCAGTCCGTATTTGTTCCACGTCTTATGCAACTGCAGCAGGACCTACCGTAATGTCTGTGTCGCGATGTCGGCAGCACACCTGCTCGTCCGATTTTTCGACGAATGCACGGCAAAGCGCTGCCATATTGAAGCCAACGATGGCCTCCAGAATCTTTTGTTAAAATGGACGAATCAGCTTCGGAACCATTGGACGGCGGAAGTACCAGAAGCAACACAAGCCGTCGTCTTCTCCGACCTCCTTCCCTTTGCCCGAAATTCGTAATGACTGTTATTGACTGACCTTGAATACGGATTCCAGCACTGTACCTTCCATTACCACGAATCTTTGCCTATGCAACTGATCAGTGACGTCAATTGCGAGGGAAGGATAAGGAACACTTACATAACAACACAACTGCTCGTCAAAGGCATGCACTAAAGTTACAACTGAGGCTCTTGTAGCTGAGAGATCCAGAGACTTCGACTCTATGGTTCGGAGGGGAGCATGATTACGAGTGCAGCGTGTAAAATTGCCTAACATGAAGATCCCAGTCCTCTGTGGTATACCAAACAACTTCTAGCTTTACCTTCCCAATCGCCATTTTTCCTTGTTGTCCCCGCCGTTCATCGCTTATACCTCATCCATTTCTTATCATATCGCTCAGGAACCCAAGCACGTCATTTTTTTTTACACCCATAGGAATGTTTTCATCACTTTTCAGCGAATGAAAACGATAATGATCTTGGTTTTCTGTGTCCTTGCTGGGGGTTTCTCGGATCTCCATGGTCACTCCACTCGACATTGTCCATTGCAAATGTACGAAACGCAAAAGAAAAACGCGGAAACGTGAAATTCTCCTGGGTCGTGTATTTGGTAAAAAAGGACACAGTACGCCGGCGGGGTTTCTTACGCAACCTTACTAATGAAGAATGGAATCATCCTCAGCGCACGAAATGTGATCAGCAACGGTCAACCACCCAGCACTTAGTAGTGAGCACACTGAGCAACACTGAGCCTTCAATGTTCATCAGTATTAGCGTTCGCCGTTGCGCCGTTGCCCTTGGGTGAAGTAGAATCAAAAAGAGAATTAGCCCACCGCGAGGGTCGAACTCGCAGCCTTCAGATCACCAAACTCAGGAATCGTAAGAGTCTGACGCTCTATCCGATTGAGCTAGGCAGGCTCACGATAAAGAGTGACAGTGTGAAGCTACGGCACGGCAACGGTAGAGGCTGACATTCCCCTCACCTCTTCCAGTTCCTAGTGAGAAGTAGACTCTGAGATACGCGGAGATTGAGTTGAAGCGTCGCATAATAAGTGATGTATATCACACGAGACATGGTTAGCCGCCGTTCTGTGACCATGCCATCCCGCTAGGACCTCAGCCCTGGGCGATCGAGCGACAAGGAAACCCCCTTCCTTTGGGATAATATTGGTAATGTTAGTCCTACGACAACTAAGTCAGGTATCAGTCATCACCGCCTTTCGCAGTCGACAGGCCAAAGAGTGCTCGGCGACACCATGGTCATCTTTTTTCGATACAGCGTTTTGAAATCCTCCACCCGCCCGACAGGTAGCACGATAATGGCTTCGTAGTCTGAGCCATGGTTTAAGAGCAGGGTGGGTAGCAAGCGGCGAGGATGGAAGCTTAAACCACAGCTAAGAGATACACTCTTTTACCGGAAAGAAACCGAGATTGCAGGTAAGGAGCACCTCGGAAGGTGCAAAGATGATATACACGCTTTCCGGCTAAATTTGATATATGCGGAACCTTAACCCTAAGAAAAGTAAGGTTAGGTTTGCATTCAATATCTGGAGGGGGGACATACCATATATAAAGCAGCCCCATCTTTCCCCGTGCTCCCACAACTCTCCCTCAAACCGCTACCATCAGCCGCTCTCACACTTCCACACTTCCCTCCTCCCACGTTCGCATCCATTCAAGTAAACCAAACCCTCTCTATTCATCTGTAAGGCCTTCCTTTTGCTATTTGTTCCATGGATGACACCTGGACGAAGACTATGCATGTCCGGCAAGAAAACACGGCAACGATGACAACGCAGCGGGGTAGAGAACCCCCAGAGCTGTATTTATCACCAATAACGGCGTTCTCCACCCCGTCGAGGGCGTCTCTCGTTATGCCTATCTATGGTGGTGTGCAGCTGACCACGACGGTTCCTGTTCGCCGCCATTATCTATCCAATCCCGACGCGTCATATATGGAATATGTACGCGAATACGTCCCGTCGCTCTCGCCGCCTGTCCTTGGTAAACCGCGCCATCGTCACATCCCGCTGCCATCCCAAACAGAGTGCGATACCCCGATGATAATGCATCCTCTGTTACGGCCAAGTCGAGGAGAGAAGATGATGGAGTTGGACTTCGCTCGCAGTCTGTCGAGCGTACGCGTTCATGGTCACGAAGGCTGCGTGAAAGAGGTGGCAACCAGCCCGCCCCTTCCGTCACTGGCTATCGTCCACCGAAAACTTCCATGGCCCATAGTCATTCAGAGGTCGGGTGATCGAGAGTGGGTCACGGTCGCTGATGTTGTAGAGACGCTATGGCATGCGCTGCAGATACGCGACCCCATGAGGTCGCCGTCGCCGTCGGTGCTTGAAAACCAAGATGATGCGCCTTGCACCAGCTTTCGCAGCATGTTGGGCTGTGCGGAGCGAGGGGTTGTCCATGAGCCCAGACTGGCGTATTTGAGGGGAAAGACACGCTTTATGGGACTCCACGCCATAGAAGGCGATACATGGGAACTACTCGTCGTATAGAGCAGTGTACGGCGCAAGGTCGCGCCTATGCGTGGGTGTCGGGATATTTATTCAATGTACCTGGCTCGACCGTCACTACAATCATGTATCAGCTACGTTCAACAAACAAAGACAATGGACTAACTCTGGAAGAGCCGTCTTTGAGCAGTTTCACGCGTAAGTGCTAACGCATAACGGGGCCGTGGCCGTAGACGTCGAGAGCACTCTTCAGCTCTAGACTCGACCCTTAACCCAAGCTACGACCACGTATATATGTGTCTGATATCTAGAATCAATGAAAGATGATCGTGAATCTGGGTAGATGAACTGAATGTGGAGAAACCAAGATACAAAGTATCTTGGGGGTTTGGGGGTGAGTATCCCGCTTGTGAAGGAGACAACTTCCGAAAGAGGGGGAAGTTGGGAAGGGCGACCAAGCGTCACCAACTGAGAAAACGGGAGACCCAGGTGTTCGGGAGGTTCTCGGATGGCCATCCGCGAGATGGGTGATGCGGCAGACAAATGAACCAGAACAACTATCCAATATCAAGGGTGCAGGTGGGAGAGTCGTAAAATTAAGAGGCCTGCAATATGAGGAAGAGGACGAGAATGGAGCATAGCTACTGCTCAATCCCGCGAAGCACAGCGAGCAAACTGTACAATTACATCAAAACAAAGATAGCCACTACACTCGGCTTATAGCTTGGCCCGGCACAAGCTCGAGCCGCTCGTTCCTCGCGTCGAGCCTGTGATCCACCTAGGCAAAGTGGGGTTAGGGTCACAACCTACAATCCGAGAATTGCTGACATGCCTGAACATGTACTGGTCACCCTTTTTGCTCCTGCCATCCACACCGTCGAACATAAAGACAGGCATAAAACCCTATAGGCATCAATCTTCTCCCCCAATGTGCCTTTGAGTGACCACAGACGAAATGCTGTCATTGCAGATTGTCCCGGTCTCAGAGCGCGAGCATATCCGTCCTTCTTGTGGTGGAATGAGGATCACAGAAGTTCGGTATCGCAATTGCAATCACAACACCGCGTCGTCGGACTCTGTCATCTTGCCAGCGAATACTATAGTGAAGATATTCCCTTATCTTCGGAACCTTCGCGAGGGAAGAATGTGACAGGAGAATGCGAGCCGAATGCAACAAGCAGCCCGAGCTGTATCAAGGGGAGCGGTCCCATATTACGCTTCACTATGACAGAAGTATAACATTCGCTCGGAGCATTTCCTCCAGTGCAGTGTCGCCAAGGCTATGATGTAGGGCGCCCCTCATCTACCAGCGACGTACGTGATCTCGTCACCATGGCAGTATTTTCCGCTACCAGAATGCGTTATCATGCCTAGATCTTGGGTACTAACGTTCCAAAAGCTGAGGCTAGAGTGGGGCACAGGGATTCGCGGGGGATGACCACGATGCGCAGCTTGGCCGTCGTGGCATGTCCGTGTATGAAGACGAAAAGAAAACGCTGCTGGATTGTGCAGTGAAACCGATGCTTGTCGAAGAGGCGCAGCAAGTGGGAAGCATCACTCCGGTAGAAAACCTGGGGTCGACAGGGATGAGTGAGCTGCCTGTCAAGAGGGCAGGAACCATTTGTCGGGGAAGACATGGATAGGATACGACACTATCATGGTGAACAGACAGATGAGTGTTGATCTCACTACAGCATTGAAAATTACGTACCTGCGGGTGTTTTCGCCCCCTTTATCATCTTTTCCTTCACCTCCTTCTTTATCGATAGTAAAGGGTGTAACTGGGTAGTTTGTCTTAGACCAGAATACCTAATACAGTGTTAGATATATGTAAGGTCGCGGGAAATGCTCTGACCTTAAGTACCCCGCTGCCTGACTGATTCCGCCAGTCATATCCAATTCTCTTTGTCGGGGCAGAGCCGTATTTCTCGCTCACATCGAATGGAAAACCACGAATTATATCATGGTGTTGGGTGACTTTGACATAGCTGTATCGAACCAATGATGAAGTTGTAAACGTGCGGAAACGAATGAATCACTCACGAACTACCAGTTTCCTTCGCCATCGTCTCGAGCGTTAAGCTCTGCGTCGCTATAGTGCATTGGCGACAGACGATTCTTCTTCAGATTGCTTTGCCTTATGACTCAAGAGTTGACCGAGAATTATTTAGCCCCTGCAGAAGGGATTTTAGTGAGGAGTTCTTCCACGGGATTACACTTACCATGCACTGCAAGTGGAACGTGCTCTGCGGGACGAAGTCATAGGTTCGTAGACCGTGTTGATGGTAGTGGTAGATGATCTGGATTCGGACTTTGAAATATTCTCCCAGGCGCGTCGCGTGGGAAAGCTTGATTTTATTGTGATCGGACTGTTCGGGCCGATGCGAAGTTGCTCAGCCTGAGGACACGCGGCTTTGTTGCTTCCAGTGATGATGGCTGAATGGGTATCAGGTGAACCTGGCAATAAGTACAGCATGCGCGAGACGTGATGGAAATCAAGGAATTTAAGCTCCACATCTAGATCTGCACGTCCACTGTCAAAGGCGGACTCGGCATCAGGGAGGCTATCCTTGAGCATCCTACAGCGACTACGGAAGGTCTTTAGTATATCAATGAGGGAGACATCCTGGGCTTTGGATGGTATGTCCCCAGGTCCGAGCTGTACTGCATCTGCTGCCGAACGAAGCAGAAGAATTGCTTCCCCCAGAAGGTGGTAAACATTTACCAAGAGTTTATAGACAACGGTCCGTACACGCTCAAGTAGGCGGACCAAAGGGATCCGTCGAACAAAAGTGGGACTGACAGCGCGCTTCATGAATGCTATCAGTGTTCGCGTGAGGGAACGATTTGCCAAGTCCAGCACTTCCATGAAGTGTGGTATATTAGCATCGCACGATGAATGATTCGATGGTGATTCCTGTAAATGTGTTCAGACGAGCAAGCCCGTGCAAATGCTGAGTACATACACTCTTTGGACCAGTATTACTATCCGTCCCCAATAATCCAGCTAGCCCGTCTATGTCCTACACAGGTTGGTATTCGCGGCTATAACAAACAACGGTTACCTGTAGAAAGTCCTTCATTTCGTGTTGGTAACAGTCTCAAAGCAGCGGAAATACCCCGAAGCAATGTGAAGTTGGAGGCGTGTTCGTGTTGGTTGCAAGGACAGGTCGGCAAAAACCTGCCGATCGGCACGTTCCCGCGGCCGGGCCACACTTGTCTCTTTTCTTGGTCCCTTCTGCTGAAGTTGTTATGACAGGTCGTCGTACGACACATATTACCACCTCTATAGAGTGAGCTGGGAACAGACCAGCTGATCCATGGTCTGAATGAAATTTCCTTTGCGCTAGGTATAGAAGGACATTAAACTCGCGAGAGAGCCTCGACTCCTTCGGAAAGTGTATTGTCTAGCAGGCATCACAAGGCTTTCCATGAGTATCTAGTCCT